TACCCTATGATGAAGTTAACATGATAAGAATTAATAATTTAAATATTGAATCTCCTTTATTAATATTTATTTACATATTGAAAAATTAAATTATACGAATAACCCTAAAATATCTACATGATTGTGTTTGTTATAAATAAAAAATAGAGATAAAGATGATAAATAAAAGATATAGAAAAAGATTGTTTGAAATACCTCTTGAACGAGCTCTATTGAATCTTCAAATATGGAGAAGGTGCTTTATGGCAACCTTTCACACTATAATATGCCTCACAAATCTCAAGAAATACAATAGGAGAGAAAGAGAGAGAAATTTCGTGCTCTAAGGAGTCTTGGACGAAATTTTGGTGGTCCCCAGAACTGTGGCCGAGATTTCTATTTATAGGCATCAGATGTGGGCTGGAACGGCCTGTTCTGGATTCAGAACGGCCCATTATGAATCCGAACGTTATGTATCCAGAACGGCCCGTTCCGGGGTACAAAGTTTAGGCTCTTTCATTAGTTTGGAACGGCCCGTTCTGGTCTAGAATGGCCCGTTCCAACCTACATTTTTTAGGCCTTTTGATTGGTTTTGGAACGGCCCGTTCTGGCCTAGAACGGCCCGTTCCAACTGACAATTTTTAGGCCTTTTAGAAGCCTCGGAGCGGCCTGTTCCAATTCGAGAATGGCCCGTTCCGGACTTGGGCTTTTGGGCCCTCTAATGTCCTATCTTGTTTGTATGCCCCCCGGACGAAATTGGGTGTCTACAGATTTTAAGGGGCGAAGACATTTATAGTAGTCAAGATGAGGATACTACTTCTCCATCTTCAAGTGAGGATGAAGAAGAAACAAGTGAGGAAGAAAACTGTGAGGTCACTTATCCTTATGATGGGGAACTTATTATGGTAAGAAGGCTCCTTAGCAATCAACCTAGTGATACCAATTCACAAAAGGAGAACATTTTTAATACAAGGTGTAACATTTCTTGTAAAGCTTATTCTCTCATTGTGGATAGTGGTTCATGGTGCAACTGTTATAACACTAGGATGGTTAAAAAATTGGGATTAACTACCACACCTCATCCAAAACCTTATCAACTTCATTGACTCAATGATGATGGTGATATGGTAGTTAATCAACAAATGGAGGTTGAGTTTTCCATTGGGAATTATAAAGATAAAGTTATATGTAATGTAGTTCCCATGGAAGCTTGTCATATCTTGTTAGGGAAGCAATGGTAATTTGATAAACAAACAATTTATGATGGCCTTACTAACAAAATCACCTTCACACATAAGGGTAAGTAGTTTGTACTTCATCCTCTTTCACTTTCATAAGTGGCTGAGGATCAAGTACAAATGAAGGCCACGTGATCATGAAAAAGAGCATGAAAAAAAGAGTAAAAATAACACCTAAAAATTAGGAGTAGAGAGGATTCTAGAGAGACTCGTGTTTCCTCTCTAGAGATAGTTTAGCAAGAAGAGAATTTTACCAACCAACCTTTAAAAAAATCTCTCTTGATTGAACCATTTTTATATGTCCTCATTTGTAGAGGAATACTCACATGCACTGCCACAAGTTCTATAAATACTTCTCTACCTTTTGAAATACAAAATCTTTTAATTGAATTTGATGATGTATTCCCTAGTGAAGGACCAATTGGCCTTCCACCTTTAGGGGTAATTGATGTTGTTCCAGGAGCTAGTCTACCCAATAAACTAGCTTATAGAACAAATCCACAAGAAACAAAAGAGATAGAGAAGCAAGTACAAGACTTGTTGGATAAGGGTTGGGTTCAAAAGAGCTTAAGCCCTTATGCTGTGCCTGTTTTATTGGTGCCAAAAAAAATGGAAAATGTGTCGCAACCCAAAAAATTCTGATCTTACGACCAATGGTATGGACTACCTTTTGAAAAATCTCATCAATTAGGGAATGACCGGAAACTAGACTAATCCCTAATTAATAATTTTAAAAAATAATTCGAAGGAGTCGCCACCAATGTTTTACTCAAAACATTGGAAAAATAAAGGTTTATGAAAATCCAATAATGGCCTTGATAACCAAAACTGGGTTCGGGGGTCGGTTACATGTAGGGAAGGTATTAAGCACCCCTACAACGCCCTTTATCAGTACCCTATGATGAAGCTAGCATAAGAGATAATAATTTAAATATTAAGTCCCCTTTATTGATGATTATTTATATACATGAAACTTAAATTACATAAATTAACCTAGGATGTCTACATGGTTATTTCTTTTATTATAATGATATTTAAAATAAAAGAGGTGGGAGATGGAGAAAGAGATCGGTGTATAATACCTCATGGAAAGCTTTATTGATGTTCTTCAAATGTGGGATGTTTAGGTGCTTTGCCTTTCACACTACACAAATACCTATCAGATTTCAAGAAATAAAAAAAGAGAGAGAGAGGGGGGAGATATTTGGAGCTATCTGGGATTCTAGATGAATTTTTTCAGCCTCGAGAGCAGTGTCTGAGTCTACTATTTATAGACTTCAAATCTGACTAAAAT